CAAATTAAAAAACTATAAAAAAACATAAAAACAAAAGTGAATCTACAACAAAAACAAAAACAATCAAAATTCTCATAAAATTCTAAAGCCTCAATGGAGACTTCTTCTTAATCCAAGTTCCAATGTCTTCTTACATATAATGATAAACTCGTGTATACTCTTCTGCCATAGATAAGAGATGGAAAAGAAGAGGGGAGAGTGTACCGGTAATTTAAAGCTCGTACATGGAGATAGAGAACACATAAATGAAAAAAAATCAAAGATTGAAGGGTTTAAATATTGAAGTTGAAACGTTCCAAGAGAAATGGAAGAGTTTTTGAGTTAAATGTGAAAATTAATTGGATTTAAATATTGAAGGTGAAACGTACCAAGAGAAAGGGAAGAGTTTTTGAGTTAAATGTAAACATTAATTTGCAAAATTACTAAGAAAAAAAAATCAAAATTTGGAAAAAAGAGAAAAATAGGATCTTTGCATCGAGGAGATGCCACGTCAACCCATCATGATTTTGGTTTATAGATATATATATAGATAAATAACGGTATATTTGTAAAAAAAATCTTTTCTTTTCTTTCTCTACAACTCAATAACATGATTTATTTCCATTCATTTCCTTCACTCTCAAAAAGGCAAATAAAATATTTCTTTTTCTTCTTTTAAAATTCGAGAACACAATATATATTCCTTCCTTCAAATGTTTACAAAGCAAACTTATTCATAGGGTTCAAATATTTAATTATGTTATTTTAACTTCAATTAACTTCCATTAAGGATATACATTTAATTCTTGAATTTAAATATATTTCATCTCTTTATTCACATAAAATATAAGATTTTACGAGCAAAGCATTAATTTGAGAATGGAAAAAACAAGATGTGTTTTATGTTGGAGTTTCAAATTTGAGTTGAACAAAACGAAAATGCTCGATTTGGGCTGCCCGTCCATAAGATAAGATTACGGGTCATTTACCAAATGCTTATCAAATAAGTGGCAATTGTACCATCCTTTCCTTACTCACTATATTGGGTAACATTCTCGATCGGTCATCAAAATGATTGTTTTGTAAAATCTTTTACTTGGTAAGAGTTGTTTCGATCCTTGATGTGCCTCTTACCATATAAGATTCTCGATCTTTAACATACTCACCTGATAAACGTTTGGTAAACGACCCTAAGTAGAGTTTTTTACATTTCTTGAGCGTATCTAAGACTTCATTGGCTTCATTTTCTTGAGCGAGATGAAGGTCTTTAAAGTAATCTAATCCACCTGCATTTTCTTTTGCCACCATATCTTCTACAAGTCTCGATGGATCACATCGGTATGGTTATTCCTTGTAAAGCTCAATTAAGTAAAAAAAATTCATCATGATTTTACTTGATTCAAAAGTAATTAAATCAGTTTACTTCTTTGGATTTGAGGTGTTAGATAAAATGATGCTGGTTGTGGGTTTTTGACACCTTTTTGTGTTGCAAAAAGAGCTTTTTTGTCCGACAAAAAAATCTGTCATAATTTAAGGTTGATTCATTGCCGGTGAATTTGTTTGCTCATCAATTGTTTATTAAAATGCCAACTCATGCTTGGGATCAATCATATCACTCAAACAGTTACTTAACTGTCTCGGGTTACCTTGCCCGAGTTTGGTGCTAGCTCTTGATTGCTATGAATCGAGACAAGCAAACACCCTATTGGCCTATTCTATGTTACAAATTCACTCCTTCAGTTACTTCACCTCATTGTTAAATCATTTGGGTTTTATTGAATGACGATGGATCGTGTAAGGAGAGTTAAGATGAGAAACATAAGAAAGAATCTTGACTCTTGATCACCTTTAATCTCAAACCCACCTATGAATCGCACTTGATACGGGGATCGATCTGATGCATTCTTGTCCTAATGTACATGGATGAAGGTTGCTTCTTACGCTTCTCACTCTAACTCTCCTTCTTACCAGAACCCAATCCTTTGTTGAATATGGTTGGATGATTAACTCAACTTTCTCCATACTCAACAACCTTAGAGCATGAATGCATCTCATACTAGTATAGTTGTATATAATTCTCAAGATAGAAAAGAAATGAAATTATAGGGGGGTAAAATGCAATTAGATGAAAGTAGAAGGTATGACTTACAAATATTTACATGAACTCCCTCTTTCTTTACAACGACATTCTTATTACATACAAGACTATGCAAGAATGCTTAATCAATTTTCCATATAAGAAATTCACCAACCAATACCAATTCAACTTCTTCTACACTTGCAACTTCAAACCGAATTTCCTGCCAAAAATCTTGATGGTTTTCGCGTTCTCCGATGTTTCCTCAGACAGGGTTAATTTCAAGAAACCCGACCTTTCAACTTCAAGTAAGTGAAGGGCTTGATCCGTTACAAAGTTAATGAATGGTCGCAAGAATGAACAACATCGCATAGAGAAGAAGAAACATAACATCATTGTTGTATAGACCTGTCGATGCAAATCATAAATGCATTGTGTAAGTTTTAACACAAACCAGTTATAAAACGGTATGCCATGTCAACATTGTATTCGTAAACCGAACCAGATCAAGCAAACTCGGTATATCTCATTCAAAAATAGGGTATGTGGTCAACATTGCATCAGTCTTTTTTAGAAATCTCCAATCAATTCAACTGTATACCCTAATCTAACCAAACCAAACCAAACTTGTTTGGTTGGTTTTCGATCAAGTTTTGTATGGATAAAGTTGTCTGTGTAGATTAATCTATCTGGATATATTGGAAGGTTTTTGTTTGGAAGGTTTTCATAGATGGAAAGAGCATATTTTTTAATTGGGAGGGGCAGGTTTAAAAAAACTTGACTTTCTGCATAAATCTAACCCTAGAAGCTTATTAAATAAGCCACTTTCATTAAGCCACTACCAAGTAGTCATATATAGCTGACCAAGTAAGCTGAGTCCTATTAAGCTCATTAAGCTGCCAACAAACAGGCCTTGACTTAGTGAATTCCACTAGAAAGTAGGGTCTGGGTCAGACATAAACAGAATGCCCATTACCCCAAAAGAGTAGGCAGTTGTTTAATGCAGACCCACAGGCGACAGCTTATGCAAGAGTATGAGCAAACAGTTAGAAAGTAAATGCTTCAACCGTATACTAAAGCAGCTAAATCAATCTTGAGGTCTTTCTTGAGCCACAAGGCAAAAAATGACTTTATGCAAAAATACGTGCGAAAAAGCTACCTCTTTGTCCAGAGGCTGCTGCAGGAAGTGCAGGAATCTTAACAGCTGCAGATCGAAAAAAGGTAGAAAAGATTAGTTTGATATCAAGATCTACAAGTTTTTTAATAATCGCGATTCAGGAGACGGATATGCATACATTTGTTGCATGACGAAGCCGGTGCATGTGAAATAGATGGCCAAGGTGCTGGAATGTGATCGTTCAGATCACAAAGGAAGCTAACCCCTGAAAAATTGTCAAATGTTGCATCCGATGGCAAGCTAGGAAGAAGACATCCCGACTCTATTCCATGGACACAACAAAGTATAACAAGTTAGATCGAAACGGCAAGGGGGTGGGGCGGGATGAGGAGGCCAATAATAACTTATATGACGAGTATATAGGGGCAGGTTCGAATAAGAATCATAAATATTTTGAGAGCTTGGAAACCAACTATTTCATGAATATTCATGATGAATAACCCTAATATTCATGTAATATTATTCATCACGAATATAATTGCATTTTCATTATTCATGATATTCATCACGAATGATTGATTCGTTTACCATGTTCTCAAAATATTTAAGGTTCTCATTTAAACTTGCCTCTAAAGTATATGTAATTCTAGGGGCTACTCGGTTTGTTTCCATTAATTCTTGTATGGATAAAGCTTTCTGTATGTATTAATCTGTCTTTATGGATTAATCTGTCTGTATCAATTGTGAAAAGTTTTGTTTTGAAGGGTTTTTCCATAGATGGATGGAGCATGTTTTTTTAATTGGGAGGGGTAGGTTTTGAAAAAAACTTGGCTTTCTACATAAAGCTCCCCCTAGAAGCTTATTGAACAAACCACTTTCTATATCATTAAGCCACTACCAAAAGGTCATGTATAGCTGACCGAATAAGCTGCGAGTCCCATTAAGCTGCTAACAAACAGGCCCTAAACTTTCTAAAAATGGAAAGAATTGTAATTTCCATGGGACAAGAGAGTATCAGATATTATAAAAATTGTTAATGAGAGGCTTATTAGATTACCTTGCATCCCATTTGCTGCAATTGAGTTGTAGATTCCAACATGTCAAGAAATGACATAAAACTATCAGATATTATTCTTATTGTAATTAAGAAAAGATTCGTGTTAAATGCAAAATAAACGAAAACAAACCTTGGAGGGAGAAATCTTGGAGGCTTATACGACAAAGATTATAAACGTTGTTGGTTATATTTTCTTTTTGTAACTTCTTCCCGAGTGAAGCAGCGCAATTCAAAGCTTGCAAGTTGGTTAAAAAGCTTTGCTTTTGTAAGTGAGACACGTAACTTTCCATTGCACTACAACATGAACTCCGGTTGCTAATCTGATCTCCACAACCTCGTGCAACGGGTCGGACATTCGGTAAAACCAATGGGCAAACTGAAATGGAAGAGAGAAAAAAAATCTTAAAAAGGGGCTGCCCTTTGTAACCATCATATTTGCCATTTGGTTTCAAAATAACCATTATACTCACAAACATCAGTTTTGGGGGGAGGGGGTTTATGGAAGAGAACAGGTCTGCATACATAGATCCCCCCCCCCCACCCCCTCCAAAAAAATTATTGTACTTGAAAAGAGTGAACAGTTTCTGCCGGAACTTTTCAAATTGCCCATTTTGCCCTTACTCGGAACTTCTTCCAAAGTTAAATTGTAAGACAACGAAAAATACGAATTTACTTTGTTCTAACAGCCACCGTTCATCACTAAAAACAAGTGGAAAATGGGAAATCTGGGAAATCTTGGAAAATATGGGCAAAAATGTTCATCATTTTCAAATATAGTTTTCTTTTTGGAGTTTTGGGAGAGCAATGGTTATTTTGAATCAATGACTAATCATAAAAAGGTTTAAAAGATGAAGAAAATGAATGATTGGCTAACCTTTATTAAGATTGCAATTAGCTAGACCTCGAAGGACTTCTTTGGCTCGTATTGGTTCAAGTTTACTTGCTAACCATCTGAGTACAATACTTTTGCAATCGTTAATCACCCGAGTTGAGATATCAGAAGGACGACGAAGCCCCATTGCATCAAGTTCATAAGAAACCGATGCAAGATCCTTTGCAGCTTCTGAAATAGCATTTTGACATACCTGCTGACAGCATTCATTAACAAGATCAATCTTTCCACATTTAGAAAGAAGCTTAGATGAATTGACCATTTTTTCAAACCCATCAACATCTTTGACTGGACAAGAAGCTTCAGTTAGGTTTGATGGACCAATGGAGCATATCTGTTGCAAACTGTTGTTGGCACCTTGACCCATGAGAATTTTGTCAAAGTCAGAAAGGCAGTGTTTGGCAAGAGTCAAGTTTAGAGAAAGCTTTTTCGTTTCTGTACTGGATTGACCAATGAGAATGATGAGAGTTGCTTCAAATTGAGGACAGCATACTACATTGGCTAGGAATGGTGCGAACACAGTGAAACAATCGATTGCAGTCATGCTCATCATGGTATGCATGGCATCAAAATCTAGCGTACAAAGGCCTGAACAAAAACAAAACAAAAAATTTATAAATGATAAAATAAAAAATTGATAAGATAAAACAGAACTTGATTTTGTAAAACGAACCTGATAACTTTGGAGCTGTGTTATTTGTAATTGTGAAGGGCGATAACGGAGACGGTGCAAGAAGAGGATAAAGGGGTTGAGGATTTCCAGTTGGAGAAATCTCAGGCAATAAATTATCCACTTTTATATCCAATAATACTGAATTTTGCAGATTATTAGGCAGGCTGCAATGGGAATCTTTGAAACCTATCAAAAAGGTCATGTGTCAATGACAAAATAACAACTTTTGCAATACGTTTCTCGTGATATGAAACAGGTACAACAAGGGGATATAAAGAAAATAGCATGTATTCATCCTAAACAGTCCTTCCATGATTCCATCCCATGAAAATTACAAAATCTTGCTTTCATGGCAAATTTTCAAGCTAAAATTACTAACTTCTTTTTCCATCGTTGCCATTACAACGAAAATGATGATATCGTATTTGATCCCAAGCAATTTGATATGAAATCGAGCACGACAAATATTAGGCATGAAGATTATAGGAGAAATATGTTGGAAAAAATGTATGGTGATCAAAATAAGAGTGGTTGAAAGGATGACCAAGTCCTAGCACACCGTTTGCCACTCATATAAAGCTTAGCAAGAAGTTGGTTTCCAAGACAGAATATTAACGAATATGGAAGCAATTATTTATTCCTGAACAGTAGATAGATCTCTAATCAGGGAAAAAATATATATTTTTTGACAGTGAAATGGCAACATGAATGCTACGAATCATTCTGTGCATAAGATTCTCATCAGTTTTACGATACAATAGAAGAAGGCCTTTTCATGGTGGAAGATTAATCCATATAGATAAGAACCCAACAGACATGCTTGACAAAGAATGTTCCATGAGAGAAGCTTAAGTTTAGCAGAAATTCAATAGAGACGGGTTTAAATGAACCTAAATCTTTTTTTCGACATGGTTTCAAGTTGGGAATTTTGTGAGACCATTCCGCACATACAAGATACGGGTGAAACAGGGAATGAGAAAGAACAACAAAAAGAGTGGTCAATATAGTAAAGGGAAAAAAACTATAAGCCATTTGGGTATATATTAAGGGTTCGCTCAGCTATACATGATTGTTTGGTAGTGTCTTAATGATATAGAAAGTGAACTTATTCAGTAAGCTCCTAGGGGGAGCTTTACGCAGAAAGCAAGTTTTTTTTTCCGATCCTGCCCCTTCCAATTAAAAAACATGCTCCTTCCATCTATGAAAAAGCCCCTCCCAAACAAAACCTTCCTAATCTATACAGTAAGATTAATCCACATATACCAACTTTATCCATTCAGGACTTAATGAAAAACCAACCAACCAAAGCATTATAGTACGCAAGAAGGTTGATACAATGTTCTCTTAAAAGCGTATACCCCAAGTATGTGGAAAGATATTGGAGTTGCTGTAAATACTCTTCTACAGTGGAAACATCATTGGAGTACCGTTTTAAGGGGTTTCCACATTTAATCATGGTGTCATTGTTGTTGTTAATATGTGATAATGATATACGGAAAAGATGTAGCTAGGAAGAAACCTTCTGTTATTTGAGGTCAGTTTTAAAGTGGCATAGGAAAGATTTGTTATTTGGGATAGGTTTTAAATTCATGTCCTGCAACCCCAGACCAAGTTTGCTCTTTTATGTTTGCTTTTACATTTCACTTTTCTATAACTTCTAGTTCTTGATAAAAAATCTCTTATCGTTTTCTTTCATTATTGATAGTCTATGTATCTACTTTTCATATGCAACTAAGGGGTTGTTTACTTACAGCTTAACGGTATTGGTTGCTTATTTGTTCAGCCATATAGGAGTGATTGTTTACAGCTTAATCATGAAGCCATTAAGCCAAAATGGCTATATGGAACAAACCAGGACCTCTCACGTGTTCCAAACTAAGCCACCTCAAACAAATTAGTGCCAGAAATAATCCAACCCTCTTCTTTGCCTTCTTTATCCCATTGGTCTCCCATCCTTCAAACAGACAACTTAACCCATAAAGGGCTTAATGGGGAAAAAAGTTAAAGAATCCTGGGTTGCAAACAGTGATTCAATTGCTTTATACTTCACAACATAAATCCCAAGTTGGATGCTGCATTATTCTATTTCCTTGTGTCTGTTCTGGTTGATAACACTCTTGTTTGGTGTTGTCACTAGCTTTGTTTGTCTTGTGTTTGGTGTTTGGATATTTTTCTAAAACGGTTGTATGGTTTTTTTTGCTGTTTTTTAATACATTGCCAGGAGTAATCCTTTTCAAATAAATCCCAAGTTCCCAACCAATATTAGACCCTCTCAATCATGTGAAACGTAGGTAGCAGCCCAAGAAAATGAATATGCCAAAAGTATAAAAGAAAATTGCATCTTCTGCTTGGTTAATGGTTTTATGTATGCCTTGTATGCAGTAAATGGCTAACGCTCTTATAAAATGAAGAATCGGTGCTCAACAGACGATACATTCGGTAAAATAACACGAAATCAACAATTGGGTAATCTTGGTGTCATCTTTGGCCAATGATTTCACTCTTGAAATGGGATTTTTATAACATTTAGATTTGTTATATTTGTGATGGATTTCATTATTGGATTTTAAAGTTAAGGATTACTAGGTTTGACTAAATTCACAACTCTCTATTTCTCTAAAATTCAAAACCCTAGAGTTGGGCTTACCTCCATGAAAGTGACATGTTCCATTGACATTAAAAACACACAATAAAATAAAACCCCAACAAGCAAGAAGACGAAGCAAAAACCTTAAATCTTGAAGCAACCAATCAAACAGCAGAAATTTAACAAAAGGTCAAACAAATTACAGTACAAAAACAAGATAAACAGCAAAAACGCAGGCAACCCCTCAACATATGAAACAATAATTAGAGCTGATCCCAATTTCACATTCTTAAATTTCTGGCAGCTGAATAAAGTGACCCAATCTTTTAAACCCTCTAAAACAATAAATAAATGAAGCAAACTGTAAACCCCACCAGCTAAATCTTGAAAATAAATCAAAACTTTGCAGCTTTCTTTAACACCCAAATAAGAAAAATCATCAAATCGAACAAGAACAAGCACATAGAGTAGGTAATGAAGATGGGTATGTGTTAATACTTACAGAAAAGCAGCAGAAATAAGAAAACGAGCATCATATTGAGCTCATGAAACATGCTTTTTCTCATGATTGATGTGGGTCTTGCTCCAACATAAAGAACCAGAAAATTTTGATGATAAAAAAGGAGAAAATAGAAGAGATTGGATAGTGGAATTTGAACAAAACTTTTAGAATTTCAATTCAGAAAAGATGGTGAGAAATGGAGGAATATAGAACAGGGGAGGTGTAAAGAGTGAAGAGGGAGAGAGAAAGGGGAAGCCATAAATGAGATGCAAGTGTGTGGGGACAATAGCAGTAATTTCGTAGTAGCTGTCCATTTATATGCGAAGACCCCACAAAACAAACAAAAGAAAATTTTAATTTTTTTATTCGAGTTAAATTTACAAAAATAGTCCTCAAGTTATCGTTCTACTTACGATTTAAGCGCACAAAACTTTAGTTTCTCGTTTCAGTTCAATAAAGTGTTATCGGTTATCGTTAATTGGGCATTAAAATTCCTTCCACTTCAAAACATTGTGTAGTATTATTGTTGTTTTTCCAAGACATTTATGTTATATTATTATCTTTATCTTCGTATTAATATGAAACCAGAAAAAAAAATTGAAATGCATTACATCAAAATCAATATGGTTGGTAAGGCTTATTCCTGACATTTTATAGATCATGAGCGAACATAAAAACATGATCCACTGCAAGAAACAAAGTTTTTAGCAACGACTCTGGTCGTCGTTAAAAGTCCATTTATCATCAGAAATAGTATATTACAACAACATGTTGTTGCGATAACTTGTGGCGAACATGTCATCGCTAAAAGGCGCATCGTCAAAGCTCACTTTTCTTGTAGTGACCCTCGGTAAGTACGAAAAAAATTCAATAAATGTTTTTCATTAGTATAAAATTGAGTACAATAAATGCTAATAATTTACTAAGGAAAGAAATCTTATTTATCTTTATTATGGATATACAAGAGAGTACTTAAATTTACGTACTTTTTATTAGGTAATTTGAAACCATGAATATAAAAACTATGGTTGATGAATTTTATAAAAAGTAAGAATCTTTTTTAGTTCATAACAAGAAATATGTTTTATTTTGATACAAAAAGAGAATTCGTGTGAATGGAGTAATCATGAGGGTCAATGAAAGATCAATAAATAAAGAAGATTATCAAGGTTTTCTAGACAAGTAAACAAATGATGATCAATAAGAATATGAAAGAAAGGATGATCTATTGAGATTCAATAAAAATAAATAATGAATTAAACATATAATATACAAGCTCAACAAATGATTGTTTAAGCACTTAAATAGAATCTTGTGGTGTGGTGGAATCTCAATGAAAAATATATAAGTCACACAATCAATAAAAAATATTTAAATTCTATTTTCCTTCTTTTTTTGCTCAACTAAAATAAGTCAAACAAACACATGATTTTAATGTTGAATTGTTGAAGCACGAAAACAGTCAAACATATATAAATAAGAATAACCAATATCATTGAACCTTGTTGGAGATAAAAAAAAAAAACTTATAGAGACAATAAATAATAACATATAATGAATGACCAATTAATATTTTTTATTTTATTCTCCATAATTAATTGATATATCTTTGGGCTCTTGTTATCTACTAAATTTTTTTTGTCTCTTATTATATGCTACAACTTTTTGGGGTTCTTTAATTTATTAAATTCTTTTAGACTACTACTGTATTTTAAAAGCAAAAAATTTGGACCCTGGGCATGCGCCCGTGCCGCTTCCCCAGGGACGACCCTAATGGTTACTACCTCCACCAGGCTTGAAACTATTTTTTGTTTAACTATGAATGTCTGAGACAGTTTGTGCATACCTTCAACTAATACCAAGGGTTCTGGAGAACATTAAGGAACATCCCTAGTGGCCTCGCATGACTCTAATAGGTGACCTATAAGAAAAATCCCTAAAGACCCAAGTGTTATTGTTAGTTGAGTCAACTCCACAAGACGTGAAACATTTTTATCCCTCCCTAAAGGGTTTACATCCATCCCTGAGTGTTATCGGATACTGTTAACTTCCTCACAATTCTTGTAACTACTATCTGTCCACACTCTTTGAGTGGATGAGAAAGAAAGAATTTCTAAGAGCAACCCCAGGTTCCGGACAGAGGAGAAACTTTCTTGAATAAGCCTTTAGGGTCGTACAACCTAAATTATGGGATTCAAGTTTTGAAAAACAAGTCAAACCGGAAACATATTGTTTGATTTATTGTTAATTCTACGCTTTAACAGAGGGACCATTTTGGATGGATCATATGTAACGTTTTACTCTCTCAAATTTGAAGGATTATATCATTGATAACATTTAAGGTTTTTTCTATTAAAATGTGTTTAAAATAATATGGTTTAATATTGTTAAATCCCAAATTCAAGTATAACAACAAAGATTCAATGAGAAATCTAAGAAAACAAATTGGCCATCAAATGTATTTAATATATTGAGAGAGATATGAAAATATACTGCAAGAATGATCAAAGACTTAAACAATACAAGTGAACAAAACTATTTATACCTCAAGGGTATTTATATTTTAAGTTCCTAAACTTGAATATAAAATCTAAATCTAACATTCTCGTTCTTTCCGAATTCAAGCATTCCATTTCAACTTCTTCCGAAGACCAAGATGGGTTTCATTTCTCCTTAGATCATTTCTGAAACTCAACCTGTCTTGAATCACATCCAGTGCTCTGATGATCAGCTCCCGTTCTCTTTTATCCATTTTCTCCTTGGATTTGTCATCATTGAGCTTCAAGTTTAACTTTTATTTGGTTAGCTTCAAGGTGTCATCTGAATATTCTGCAACTTCTTTGAATCTCAAGAAACATTTCTTCAACTTGGCATTCTAATAAACAATTCCAAATTCAGGATCTTCAAGAATCATATATGAAAATCCCATTATGATCAAGTAACAAGTAAATTAAACAATCAAGAACAACAATTAAACTCAAATCAAATGTATTGATTGTTTCTCTCTCTAGAAACTCTCTAAAAATATGAACTTTGCATCCTAGAAGCTGACAGCCTCCGGTGGTGCTTTTCCTATCAATTTTGCATCCTACAAAATGACTATTTGAATAACCTATTAGGTCAAAACCTGAACCCTTAGGGTACCAGAGACCCAAGTTAGGAGTTTCCTTGAGGTATTTGAAGATGCGTTTTACAGCAATCAGATGAGATTCCTTATGTACAGATTGATATCGTGCACAAAGACAGGTGGAGTACATGATATCTGGACGACTTGCTGTGAGATACAACAGAGAGCCAATCATTACTCTATAAACAATAATGTTTACAGGCTTTCTGGTTGGATCCTTGTTTAGAGAGAGAGAGGAGCCATCGGAGTTTTCATAGATGAGCTATTGGATAGATCAAACTTTTTCAGCATATCTCTGACATACTTACTTTGGCTGATCAAGATACCTTTATCTGATTGCTTGATCTAGAGACCTAGAAAATAGGTTAGTTCTCCCATCATACTCATATGATATTTTTTCTTCATGCGATCAGCGAACCGAAAACACAAAAACATAATACTTCGAAAGGTAAAAGGGATTATCTTCAAATCAATGAGAGAGGGGATCAACATCTATCGTAGTCATGTCTCTTACTGAAGAGGTATATCATTATGTTGGTCCCAAATGGATGTACAAGAGTTTAATGATAACAGTTTGTAGAAGGGGTGGGGGATGAATACAGAGACACAATATTTTTCACTTCTTAAAATCCTTTATTGATAAAGAAGATCAATACATAATTTACAGACTATTTGCGGTATAAGATAAGATATAGAACTTATCTAAAATAATCTAAGGAACACATAACATACATAAACTCTTAGGAACAGGCCTTCCAATTTATAATTTTGATTTATTTCTCTATTCAAAAACCCATAATCAGATCTTGGTAACTAACTATTTGCAACTTGACAATTTMAAWCAGATTTTTCAAATACTTAAATATTATTTACTGGATGAAAATGGTAAAATTTATAATCCCTATTCATGCAGTAACATCATTTTGAATGTATTCAATTTTCCTTGACCTTTCCAAAAGTTTCTTCTATTTCGCGAAGGTTATCTAGAAGGCGTTCCTAATAGAAAAAGCGTGATCCTAGATTCAAGTTACAATTCACAATTCATACACAAATAATCAAGAACACCAGATGATGAAACAATCGGCATGTATATTATGTCAAAAGTGTACATGTTCTTGATCACTTTCTCTTAATACAGATTCCCTCTCAATTATATGCGTATAAAGATTATGTTAACCGAACTAACCAACAAAACTAATAAGCTGCTATTTATAGCAACTGCTAAAACATGAAACTAGCCTACTTTCTATAAGAGGAAACTTACAACAAACAATTACAAAGCAGTTAAAACATCTTTAAGCACAAGGACTTGAATACAACATTTTGTTCCAACAATCTCCCCCTTTGGATTCAAGTCCAAAACAATTCAGATCTTTAAGAGAAACAATCAATACATATGATTTGAGTTTAATTGTTGTTCTTGATTGTTTATTTTACTTGTTACTTGATCATAATGAGAATTTTAATTGGTATCAGAGCTTAAACAGAAGAATTGTGCAAATTTTAGTTGAATTTTTGGATGATTTTTTGCGTTCTTGAAGAACATGAAGAACACAAATGGGTTTGACAATTTTTGTTGTTTTTTAGTTAGATTTTGACTGCGAAGTTTTTCTCCATCATTTTATAATTGTTTTGCATCAATCTCTATTCAAAATCGCATCAAGATTCTAGTTGAATTTGAAGATTTTTAGAAAAAAAACTGTTCTATAAAAATTTTAGAGAGTGATTTTGCAAATTAGTATTGTTTTGATTCGTTTTTGTGCAAATTCATTCTTAAAAAGTGTTTTTAGACATGAAACAATAAAAGATTTCAAGTTTTAATTCATAAAATTCATTTTTGAAATTTTTGGATTCATGGTGTTTTTGATGAAATTCAAGTGTTCTTGAGAAAATTTGAGTTTTTGATCCATTCTTGTGCTTAAGATTTGTTATATTTATGTTTTTAGTTAAGTTTGATTCAAAAAGACAAATTTTTTGAAGAATTTTGTGTTTGTAGGAAATCTCGTTCAAACTCAGTAAGGAAGGAAAAGAAGATGAAGTTGGTCAACAAAAGTCAAACTTTGATGCTGAAATTCTGTTAGTTGTTCATTACATTTGTGACATTTTTAGTCATTTTTCTGTTAAGTTCGTTAGATCTAATAGTGTTGTC